TTTAAACCAAATTGGATGATGAAAAGGTTTTACCATGGCAAATTTATGATCAAATTTGATGTAAAAATATTGCCATGAAGCAATTACAACATTTCTTTGGGCCAATTGGCATAGTTATAAGTCCAATTGATGTGATTTGGTCATTTAGTCAGGGTATTGTGAGGGTATGGTGAGAGTATGGTGAGGGTATTGTGAGGGTATTGTGAGGGGATTATGTACCTTAGCTCCAAACCAACACCCAGGGTCAATCCTAAATTCAAGTAGCCCTATAAGAACTCTCCTTAAGTTCCCTCATAATGATCTTACCTTCTAATTTCTAGAGGTTAGGACCAATATGTGGAACTTCAAGTTGAGTAAAGAGAAGAGTTTTGAGTTTCTAATGGTGAGGGTACCTTCTCTAGTTTTCTAAGACTAGTCAGTAGGAAAGTCCTATGGCTAGACCTAGGCTACTAAAGAAATTTCTAGACCTCAACCAAAAGTGAGTTCAACAGGTAGGCATGCATTCTTTTATATGGCTGACATGCATTTTTTTTTGGATGATGAAATTGTTGGAGAGGGGGAAACTGCTTGTAAATGTTTCATGATAAATATGTAATATGCTGCAGTTTTTTGGAAAGCTTACTGTTGTGAATATTGATGCCATTTTGGAAAGCTTACTGTTGTGAAAGTTCATAGTTTTATTGGGCCACTTTGATGCCATTTTGGAAAGCTATGATAAATATTGATGCTATTTTGGAAATATACAAGTGCTATGATAAATATTTGGGGTAGTTTTATATACAAGTGCTATGATAAATATTAATGCCATTTTGGAAAGCTTACTGTTGTGAAAGCTCATAGTTCTTGCCATCAATGGAGTTTGGCTACATATGTAATATGCTGCAGTTTTTTGTTTAATGTGTTGCTTTTTTATTTGGGAAATTTACATACATAGCACACAAATCTTCTGTATTTACTCTGCACAAATCTTCTGTATTTACTCTGCAATGTATATGTTCAATTCATTTGATCACTTCAAACTACTTGCTTCTTTGCAAATTTGTTTGAATATATGGATTAATGGAGCAATTGCTATTAAATGGATTTGTCCAATTTATTTTTTATCTAAGTATTGATTGTATCGATATAATGGTGGAGCATAATTTTTTTGTTGGTAAGTATACTTTATATATTTCCTAAATTTTTGGACTGATTTATTTTATTTTATTTTTAATAACTGCAGTACGATGAGTTCAAAATATTCTGGGAAGTCTGAGAAAGTGATGTGTCGGTGCGAGCTACCGTCCTTGCTACTCACGTCACGCCAGACACAGCTTCGGGAGACAATTTTACAGGTGCCCGCGGTGGGCACAACGATAGGACTGCAAATTCTTCAGGTGGGCCGACAGGGAGTCTGTTTCTATGATATCCCAGATGGACACCCCGGCTCGGAGTTCGTCGATATCAATATTTCAGAACACCGCTTCTGGTTCGACTGCTTCCATTTCTACTGTATCTCAGTCGGAAAGGTTTGCTCAGGGTTCTGGAGTGTCTGAGCCGGACACAGTGGGACGTGATATGCTGCTACATGTTAAAGTCAATATCATTATTTTTTTCCTTGTGATTTTGACATGTTATTTTTTTCTTCTTTGTTGGGTCTCATTATAATATATACTAGTGCGTTATGGTGTATTTCACATTTATTTAGGTAATTATGTATTTCTGATGTGAACTGAAATATTTGAGTGATATAAATATTTTGTATTTTCACATATATTTTTCAATCTTCCCATTCTCCTTTTTATGATTGCGTTGGGAGTTTGTAAATTTGTGAAAAAAATTTCAAATAAACTGTTTACAAAAAGCACAAAACAAACAACTGCAGCTTATTCAGAATAGAGGCAGTTTGGTCATTTATTCAGAATCAGCTGTTCTCAAAACGCACAAACCAAACAGGCATACAGATTATCCGGATCAGTTGCTTATCACCAGATTATCACGATAAACAACTTCTCAGGATAAGCTCGATAAACTGCAGCTGCCCCAAACAGACCCTGAAACTTGCCAAACTTGTATTGGAAATTCATAATAGTTCTTTATTTTTATGTTTATTTATAACAATCAAGAACAGCTTATAAATATGTGTTGTTTTGTATATCGGGCCAGATTTTGGTTTTAGAATTACAAGTTCCTTCCTTTTGAGAAGGTTGTGCTACCAATTCATCTTCCTTGCAACTGTATCTTGTAGTTGGCAGCCTAGATAGTCTTGCCTTATGTATCCTTGTGCTTCCTTTACATCAATAATATTCGTTTGCCTGTTCTTGGCCTCTAGAATTCTTCTCAGCAATTCTTGATTGTTATTTTGCTGAAATTCTACTCATATCCTTTGCTGGTATCAGTCGTCTTGGCAGCCAAACATTTCCATGTCTGGAAGGTTAGTGGGGTAACTGTTTTATCAGAACATGAGTGAATGGCTTTTGAATAGTTTTGTTTTTCTGAAAAAAAAGAAATCCTTAACAACACTTATAACCAATTGTTGGCTCAATTTGTTATTCCGTGAAACAATTCTAAATTTGCAATTCTAAAACTGCATTATTTTGTACATTTTCTTACACTTGCATGCTGCACGGGGATGTTGTGGTGGAAAGAAATATGCTGCTTATCTACATGTATTAATGAATTTTGTAGATATGTTAGTTTATGCTCTTTAAAGTAACCAGCAAACTTTCTTGTAGGTGAGGTTTGGCGGCTTAATCATATTTGATAATGTTCTATGGCACGGAAAAGTTTCTGATCCCCAAGTAAATCACCATCGGACAAACATGTTTATGCTCCCAAGTTTTAGCTATTTTATCAGTTATTATTTCTCTTTTCTACTTGTAACAGGTGAAAGACATGAAGACTATCAGCCTGAGAAATTTCAATAAAAAAATTCGCGAGGATAGCCGTGTTAGCGTTAGTATGGTCAGGGCATAATCCCGATGTTGTGTTTCTATTCTTTTTTTTTTGTTTTCTCTTAAATGCTTTTGGCTTATCTGTATGGCCTCGCCACCAGATATTAAAAGTTGGCGTCTCGCAGGTACCCATTGGTGATGGCATGACAATCTGCCGTAAAAGGGAATGAGGTTGGCCTGTTTCATTCCGTTAATCTTGATATGTTCAGTAATTTATGACCCAAACAATTAGTCGAGGTTTCAAATGTCTTTATTTTCTTGTTTCCTAGAAATGGGCTCATAATTGATTTGTGGATGACTTGACATGATATTCTTATTATGCTGCTAGCATTCTTTTATAGAACGTTTTTGGCTCGAAGCCAATCCGGGAGTCGTCGTTGTCCAGGAAACATTAGTATGGCTCGAAAGCGATTCTTCTGCTGTGATTCAAGCCAAAGAACAACTCCTTGGAATAAGATTAAAAAGAGTGATAAATGTCTTTGTATATATTTTTTTAATTGGTGGCATTTACCTACATACCACACAAGTTTATTTATTTATATATGTCTAACACTTGAACTTTAATGTAAATCATGAACTAGAGATTTTGAATTAATAATTTGTAATCTATATTTACTAGTTGTAAATCAAGAACTAGAATTTTGAACCATCAAAATCTTGAGATTAGTCAAAACATCTACTAATAAAAAACAAATTAATAAAACATCTACTAATAGAAAACGAATTAATCATTGTTACAAAAATTAAATCAATGTATAGTTACCCTTTTTTTATATTTTTTCATGTTTTGGTTAAAATGCTTATTTTCAATTAAATTAGATTTTTATTAATTTTTCTTTATATATTATATTATAAAATCAAATCCCACATTTCCTTCATGTTATTGATTAAACCATACGTTTTTTTCTCAAATGCAAGCTTGTAAGCATGAAAATGCTCGTATTCCTGAAGCGATCTTGCTTGAGCCAGAAAATTTTGATGGCTTATTGATTGGGGAGATGAAAGCGGCGAAAAATAGTCTGGAATGATAAGTAGCGAGGGAAGCGAATTGGGAAGTAGCTTAGATTAATAAATAAATTGTAATATCTTATTATTAATTAAGTAATTAAATAAGTTAAATGTTTCTAAATTTTAGCTAAATGATATGCAAGCTAGCATGTTATAAAATTTTTAACAAGCTATTTCTAAAAGAAAAACAAATTAAAAGAAACGTGATCATGAGCATAAATAAACAAGAAAGTTTTATTCAAATTAGATTAAATTAATTTTCTGTATTTTAAAATTTATTTATTTAATAACTTAAATGAAATTTTAAATGAACGTTAATCAAGTTGAGTTTAAGCTATTTAAGGAGGGCATTGGTTCACTTATTGTCCCAAGCGATTTTAGGCAATGACATAAATAATGCTTGTTCGCAAATGAATCAGAGCATTAATTCCTTTATTGTCAACTCATAATGTTTTTCGTAGTCGAAGTTATATTTAGCGGCTTTAAGATTTGAGATTCTCAAGTCACCTTCTCTTGAATAATGTTTTAATGATTTTAATCGTCTTAATTTCAAGAATTCTTCTATTTAGATGTCTTTGACAGAAGGGTGGTACACAATACCCAAGTCTTTGAATTAGAAGAAAATAAAAAAAAAAATTGATGCAAATGACCTAGCTTTTAAGAGAGCTACAATTGGATTTGTTTTATGAAAGTCATCATTAGTGGTGATAAATTAGAAAATCTTTTTGATAGGGAGATTAAAAACATTGGTATTGATAATGGCCAAATTAGGCTTTAATACACATAACTAATGACGAATGATCAAATTCAAGCTTTTATTAAGAGAAGTTCTAAAACAAATAACCTTTGCTTGGGTAGCCTAAGAAATTTGACAAAAAAATAAATAAAAATAAAAAAATCTAATCATGATCAATTGATTTAAACAATTGTTTACCATAATTACCTTGATAAAAGATTCTGTTACTTCTTTTCAAATTTATTATTAGGTTGAGAATGTTGAGATTATTGAACAAGTGACTGAGCTTAGAGCAGTACATTAAGAAGCAAATAAAATGCATTCAACATCCTTGAAATACAGCCCGAAGTACTATGAAGTTCCCTTACCATTTTGCCTAATGACATTGTGAAAAACATGTACCAAAAGATTGTTCTATTGTATGCTGAGGTTGAGAAAGTTGAAATCATTGAACAAGTAACTGAGCCTAGAGCATATGGTAAGTATCGTAAAGCCAAAAAAATACATTGCAACCTCTTTGAAATATAGCTTGATGAAAAAGGAAGTTTCCTTTCCATTCTGCTTGATGAGATTACTATAGACATGTACTAAAAAATTATTAAAATGAAGAGTAGGTTAATCTTAAATGGGTAAATTAATTGAATCTTCTTGATTAAGTAAATTGAAGTAGATGAATAGTCTATTTTACATCAATTGATCTGATGCAGGGCCTTTTTGTTTAGATCATATATATATATATATATATATATATATATATATATAAAGACATAGAGT